TGTATAAGCGCGTGGTACTGTGCAGCAGCCATTTGCCGATTAGGGATGAGAACCTCATTACTTTCTTGTTAAATGATACAGGAAATGTAGCATCCAGAATATGATTGTGTTTTTTGCTGGTAATGTGCACCACTGTGATAACACAAAAATGCATATGGGCTGGTGAAGGCAGTGGCACTCTGCTTTGCAGTCATTTTACCCTTAACCTTTTTCTTGGGGGGAAATACAGCTAAAGGCTAGGATTAGGTTGGTCATCTACCCTCATGCATCTTCCAAGCTCTCTAAAAAAAGTAGCAGGTGTATATATATTGTAACTACCAACAAAGCTAGACTGAAATGTCAGAACATCACTCCTGTGTATGTATCTGGTTGGCCACTGTGAAATCAAGGTGCTGGACTTCTGGTTCCGCAGAACTCCACTTTTGGTTTTATGTGTAATCCACAGAATAGAATCAACACAGTTTTCTTAGCAGAATATATATAGCTACCAAAATCACCTAGATTTTCTAAAACTATTTCTTAGTTTCCATCGTTCCTTTTTTCCCTCCCTCTCTCCATTTAATCTGACTCACTATATTGGCTGTTTTTTATTATTAGTTCTTCTCTAACACATTGGCATTTATTTTGGTTCTAGATCATTGGGGCTCTGGAGCAGGATGAGCAGGCGCGCCGGCAGCGCTTGGCATACAAAGTAGAACAGCTTATTGGTGCCATGTCTATGGAGAGCTGAAGAAAGGAGCAGGAACTCCTGGAACAAAGAGATGGAAGTAGTTGCCTCAAAAACTTCTGGGAACTGAGTAAAACCAGCAAGGAGGCTGCTGGGAACACACCTAAAGTACTGTGACAACCTCCACCGAGGAAGAGATGTTAGCCCAGATACGTTGCTCAAAATTCGATCATCAGATTTCAGTCAAAAGGACAGGAGAAAACCAGTAACAATGGCGCATCTAAAAAAGAAACCAGTTGGGTTTGCCAAGAAGTTCAGTTCCTCAAGTTGTACACCTAGAAAGGTTCTGGGAAGCCTAGATTCCTCCATGACTGCTGCTTTGCATGAAAGTTGTTTGATGTATATTAGGAGATAACAAAAATGCTATTTAAAGTTTTGTTTTGTTTTTTAAAGAAAAAGGAAATAGAGAAGAAGAAAAATGAAATGTAACAAAAACTACAGTGGCCACATCAAATATCCCATTGAAAAAATTCCGCTGCATACACTGCCCCTCCCATCTCATGAGATCCCCGTTGTCTGTGGCTCAGATGGATGGTTCGCAAGTGGATTTTAACGCCTTTGGGAATGTTTGAAAAACTCCATTTATGCCTCTGCCTGGGAACTTACAGAAAGCCCCGCAAGCACAAATTTGCACCAAACCTTTCAAATAGTGCAGCTGGGGAAAGAAAGTCCAGCAGTCTGTATCTGCAAGAGGCACTTAGCAGAAATGTACCTGAGTGGAAAAGCCATCCAGTCCTTCAGCCCATCTGTCTTGAAATTCATCTTCAGCTGTGTATTTATAGAGTACAGATATTTTTTTAATACTTCTTATTTACCGTTGGAGGGGCATATGATTTTATGAAAGTCCTTCATTCCTCTTCTGCGTTGATACAAACCTTCTCCCTGTTGAAGAGATTCCTCCCTGTCTCTGTGTATTTGACAACTGTGTTCCTAAGGAATGTCCTGTCCGTTTTGAAGCTAAGGAAATTGTGAGTGGTTTAAACTGAAACTGGTGCATTGTGGGCTTCTGCAGGTGCAATTTGTGTAAAAACTAATTGGCTTTCTTAGTTGCTTGGGGTGTGGGTTGGTTAGCTTTTGGGTCGTTGTTTTCCTAGTCACTATGTGATTTCTTGCAGTAAAGGAAAAAATGTTTACAGCAAGTAATACTTGAACAGCGTAGACCTAGTGAGGCAACATATTTATTGCTTTCCCACATTGGATTCACTGGTGCTTATGCAATCAGGACAAATGGCATTTGCATTTTTTTTCCTCACACCATATGCAAGGTCATGCAAAGGTCGAGCATAAGATTTCTATGTCTAGTGGGAGGGGAGACAAAAGGAAATGGCACACTCTACATGCCTGTTAATGGCTGTTGTCTTTGTCTTTGTCCATGTGTCCTGTCTTGGGTTAGGTTTCTTAGCTGACCCTAACAGCCCATTTCTTAGTGATCAGTTGAAGGCTGGTGTCTGTGAGTTGTTGTTGTTGTTCCTTTTTTAAAAAAGAAAAAGACCAAAGCTTTCTTGTCCCTTTCGAGAGTGCCAAGTAGCAGGTGGGATGCTGTAAATATTTCTCTCTGTAATAAATATTGATATTTGTGCAGGCTGCAGCTAAGAAGGGTGACTGGGGCAAGACAATTAGGCCTAATGGAAGGCAGGATTATCGACCACACTGTTTCAGATCCCGTGACTGGAATCTGAGTCGGATTTGAGAGAAGTAGAATGGTTCCCTCAAGCAAGGTCTAGGAAGAAGCTGGTTGTGACACCAGCTTGTATGACCATTCTGACTGGGCCACCACTTCCCAAACTGTATAGCATTTTCAGCATAAGACAATTAAATGTCTAGGATTTAAAACAGCTGCTCTTGATGGATACAGTGGATACTATCCCCTGTCTGTTATAGGTTGCCAGGGCACCAGTACTGTACTGGAAAACCTAAAGGTGTTTGGGGAGGAGTTGTCATGAAGTAACCATTTAGTAACTTTGTATAACTGTTTGATGAAGGGAATTCTCAGAATCAGGAAAAACAAGGGAGGAATTCAACATTGTGCTAAGGTGAAAATTTGCTCTCTTCCCCCTGCGCACTGTTCTGGGACACACACACATACACACACACACTGAATCAATTTTGGGGAGGATAGTGGCAAGCATGAGGAGGAGAGGGTTAAAGCCGTGTTGCACAAGTGGAAGTCATTGTGCAGTGCTTCCACTGACAGGAGTCATTAGGTGAATCCCCACCCCCACCCCAAAGGCTTTTGCTCCTAACTTACTTCTATAGCGCCTACATATCTCAGCTATCTCCTGGGCCTATCCTTGCCACATCAGTCCAAAGCAGGATTTAGATTTCAGAAGCACTGGAAGGTACTATTAAATGCATGAAGGGAGCTCCATGCAATTAGGAAGTGGGGTGGTGCTGGTGGCCCTACCCATGACATTGTGCACCTCCCTGCCCCCACGTTGAGCATGAACATCTGAATAATAGGGGGAGCCTATGTTTCTAGAGCTCTATGTGCATAGGCTTCCACAAGATATGGAATTCTGCATGAATGGGTTTCTAAATTGCATGGAAGTGCACAGGCATAGAGCTGTCCGTTTGTAGGCTTCCTCTCTTCAGTTGTCCATACTCACTGGGTCAGGGAGGCTTGCAGTATCAGGGGAGGGACCACCTCAGCCCTCTTTCCTGTTTATTGAGTGGAGTCCTTTCATGAGCAGGCTCATACATTATTAAGATCCTGTTCACCATATGAGGAAGGAGCAACTTCTCTGGTAGAGTAGACAATTCTTGCCACTAAATGGCTTGGGCAGCCATGCCACTACCCCTATTTCCTATAGTGAGAGATGGAGCTGCTTCCACAGAAGGCTGAGGGTGAGTGGGTTGCACATTAAATTCCTTACTCTGTGAGAATCCCCAATTTTTACTTTCTAATCATTATCCTGAATGCTGCCAGCAAAAGGATAAAGGAAAGGAGCAACTTGCTGCTTTAATTATAATTCATTAAAAGCTGTGCCAAGCCCACTTTCCCCCTGATAATTCACTTTCATAAGTTTCCCTGGGCCCTATTAATAGCCTGAAAGAAATACTAATGACTGACCTTGTGCAATAAGCCAAAGCCTTTGACATTCACAGCAGCCAAAGCTTTGCAGCCAGAAAGCTCTGATTTACATTGACTTGGCAGGAACAGGGACCAGGAGCCAAATGAATGGAGGCATCTCAGAAGAAGGGCAGCTTGGTTTCCAGAGCGTTACCTCTGTACTGTCTGGCAGTGTGAGTTTGACTGCAAGAGCAGTTTTGTCTCCTCTGTTCCTGAACTTAATTGTTAATGTTTAACAGCCAATTTTTGTTAAAAGAATTTCTACTTCACCCAATTACAGGTACTTCTCAATTAGATCATGTTAGGTCTCCTTCAGTGCACTTTCATTTTTATTGGTTTTCACTTTTTACAGATGTTCTGTATGGGTGTACCTTCATCTTTCCAAACTGAGGCTGCAGTTTCTTGAGTATTTAGTCAAAAGTAGAGGAAGAGGTAACTCACCCAGAGGTACTATCTAGAAGCGGTGGGTAACACTAGAGTTGCTGGTTTAGGTTGTGTAGCCATCTAGTGGCAAAATGCACATCAATTGGCTTGATCCTTTTGTTGTTAGCAGGTGTCAGGCATGCTGATTCAGACACTGTCTGCAAGTGCCCCCTAACTATAAGCATTGCTTCCTACAGTTACACTTTTCCATTGTATACTGATGATCACCACACACAGTTTTTAAGGCTGGAAGGGATCTCCTGTGTGGTATCATTTCTTCTAGTATTTTCTGCCCTCTGGCTGGATGAAATTTATCTAAAGCTGAACTGGGAATACAAGTCGTTCTCGAATTTCTGCTCCATAATTAAATAAATATGGGAACCAAACGGCTACCAAACAGTCCAGTTGTGGCTGCTTCATAGCCTGATTCATGGATGGCTTAAGTATGGTGGGGTAAGATTCAAATAGTGTTTTCTTTGGACAGCAGAGTTTGAGCATTTAAAAGCCGTTGCATTTGCCTTAGGTGACATTCCCTATCTGTGTCAGTGACTCCTTCCCCTGATGTTTGAGTCCCAGCCTGCTCTGTTTCAGGTGTTTTCACATCAAAGCCAGAGACGTCATTTCTGGAATTTCTGTGCCTAGCACGGCCGTTTGAATAATTCCATTTAATCTTCCATTGATGAGTGCTATCCAGAGCCATCAAAGAGCCCACTGCAAGGGGTAGTGATGTGCTAATCAAATGCTTCTTTCCTTTGAAGGCCTTCGTTTTTAAAAAATAAAATTCCATCTAGTTAGCACACTTGCCTGCCCCTGCTGTAGTGGGGTCCCCCCCCCCCAGCACTAAAATTATGCATCCGCTTCACTTGCCAAAGCAATGGACCCTTCTGTCAGTAATAGGTTCCATGATCATTTAGAGTGTGGTAGAAGGGGTAAACAGCTAAAGTGCTACAGCTGTTCTTAGAAGAGCCTCTGGCTAAATTAACAATTTGTGTTGCAAAAATGTTTATAATTTAATTTCTTTAAAACAGGTTTAGGTCACCTTAAAAGATGGAAACCCTCTCAAAGTGATAAAAACAAGGTAAAATCAAATACAAGGTAAAATCAAATACAGTACAGTCACAGTCTGAAAATACATAATAAAGGCCAGCAGTAGTTAAAAAACAACAACAATACCCATCTGACCCAAAATTACACATATTGAACCAGCTACTGAACCATGAAACAGCCAAAGGAAATATCTCATGTAAAAGCCAGGTCTTTAATGTGCTCCAAAAAGCCTGTAACAATTAAGTCTTCCCAGTGGCGATGTATACCAGCAGTGCGGGGCCACTGCAGAAGAGGCTCTCTCCTAGGAAGGGTGGTTGGTGACCATAACATGTAGGCAGGCTGTTATGAATGAAGGTGGTCCTTTGGTTGACTCAGCCCCAAACTTTTTTAATGCTTTAAAAATTAAAAACAGCACTTTAAATTGGGATCAGAAATGCACAGGCAGCCAGTTCAGCTGTTGCCATGTGTCACCTGAATTGACCACCTGGCTTCCACCAGAACTTGAGTAGTTACATTTTGCAGTAGCTGAAGTTTCTGAACTCTCTGCAAATGCAATCCTACAAACAACACAGATGCAACTAGTACACATATCTAGATGGGCTGCTGTGCCAACAGCTACCCTTAGCTGGCAAAGAGCATACCTACCCACCTCAGCCACCTAAGCTTCCCTATTTAGTGCCTATTTAGTGTGGACTTTGCTCTTAAAAGGGAGTGCAGCCCCATCTAAGCTCAGTTGTAAATCTCCTTCCAAAATAGTCTATTTCCCTATCTGTCGTACCTCCATGTTTTCTAGACTCAGTATCATTGCCATGGGCTGACATCATAAAGTAGGACTTTTTATCAAAGTGTCCTCCCATTCCTTGCTGTTAACAATATTTTGGATCACAAGAATGCCTGCCAGGGCAGCTCATTTCTGCCCTCTGCCAAAGTGGTAGAAGGGCTCCCAGACCCCTTTAGCAGCAGATACTTTGCTAGCATGGTCCCACTTACTCAATTGAGTTTACTTCAGTTTAAGTGAAATCATTTGTCATCATAGTCTAGATGAACTGCCCCAAAATTTCATCAGCCCAACAAAGGGGCCAAAGTTTTGATATATCATTTGTGCATCTCAGTGCAATGTCTCTTCTCTTAAACTTTTCCTCCCATCCAAACACAAGAGCTGCTGGTACTGTGCTTCAGTTCTTCTCCAAGTAGCCCTGTTTGTTCACCTAAGCTGTGTAGTGTGTGGATGAATGGAACTCATCTGCAACCATTCCAGTTAGAGGTAGACAACGTCATAGGATGCCTCCAGTGTGCAAATGTTGCAATAATGGAAAGGCATAGTGGCATGTGTTTTGTTGCTCTTGCTTGCCATGCTCGGGATGGCATGGGGATGAGGGACCAGCTCCCTTCTCTTGTGGGGGCCCAATTAGTGCCATTGCCTTCCGTTAAGAGTTTGGGTGTAATCCTTGACGCCTCCCTTTCCATGGAGGCGCAAGTTACAGCAACAGCCAAGGCGACATTTTTCCACCTTCGCCGCATCAAGCAGTTGGTCTCTTACCTTTCCCGCCCTGACCTGGCCACAGTGATCCATGCGACGGTCATCTCCAGGCTTGACTACTGTAATTCGCTCTACGCGGGGCTGCCCTTGAAGCTGTCCCAGAAACTCCAGCGGGTACAGAATGCTGCAGCGAGGCTTCTCACGGGGTCTTTGCCATGGGAGCATATTTACCCAGTGCTTTTCAAACTGCACTGGCTCCCGGTGGAGTACAGGGTCAGATTTAAGGTGCTGCTTTTGACCTTTAAAGCCCTTCACGGCCTAGGACCCTCGTACCTACGGGACCGCCTCTCCTGGTATGCCCCACGGAGAGCCTCAAGGTCCATAAATAACAACACCCTAGTGGTCCCAGGCCCTAAGGAAGTTAGATTGGCTTCAACCAGAGCCAGGGCCTTTTCAACTCTGGCTCCGGCCTGGTGGAACGCTCTGCCTCATGAGACCAGGGCCCTGCAGGATCTGATTTCTTTCCGCAGGGCCTGTAAGACAGAGTTGTTCCGCCTGGCCTTTGGCTTGGAGCCAATTTGATTCCCTCCCTCCCTCTCTTTCTTTTTCTTTTCCTTCTCCTCCTGCAATGAGGCTACATTTTAATATTTTAATGTTCCATTATTTTAATGTTGTATTTTATTTTTGTTTTTAAGTTGTAATCATTCTTCTTGTTTTTATTATTGCTTGTAAGCCGCTCTGAGCCCGGCCTTGGCTGGGGAGGGCGGGGTATAAATAAAAAATTATTATTATTATTATTACACCTGGATGAAGGATTGAGAACATCCCCAGAAAGCTCCAGTTTGAGAGAACTCTTATTTCAACTTGCGTAAGAATGAGAGCAGTTCCCATTAGCATCGCCAGGTGCTGCAACTTCCCCTTCAGCCCTCCTTTTAGGCTCCAGTATTATCTACAGTCACCTGTCAATGGGAGTCAGTTCAACAGGCAAAATGAAACAAAAATAGCCAGACCTGATTAAGCTTTGGGGGAGGAGAGAGAGGCTGAGTGGAGACTCAACCCTGGTGAAAAAGGACACAGCAGCAGGAGTAGTTGGAGAAGAATAAATACCCAACATGAAAGAGCCATTTAAACTCCAGCAGAGCTAGAGTTTATCAGATTTCAGCATTCCATTTGTACTATAAACCACAAGCCAGTAACAATACACAGAGATGCTAACTGTATATGTTTACTTGCTAGTCAGCAGTCTGATCTTCTAAATAATAAATGTGTTTCCAGAGATAACTTCTCTCTCTTCCCCCAGTTAGTTCTGGTTCCCATTAACTGTTACCCATCTGTCCAAGATCCCATCCAGTGAGCACAGCAGTGGGAGCTAAGTGAAAAATATTCAAGAGACATGCATCATTTTTCAAGATACTAACTGAATTTTCCAAAACTATCAACAATAAACAGATCTCCCTCATTTTGTATCTGTGTGTGATGACTACCAATCAACCTCATACCTTGCCAGTGTAATGCAGATAAGGCACCTTACCTTTGTAGACAGGGATATGTATCAAGGGATGTTAATTTGAGTTCGATGCATTAGCCTACTCTTAGAGGAGTTTCTGAAAGAAATCATAGCCCATAAACCAATGTGCTGAGGAAAGGCCACAATCTAAATGCAGGTCATTCAGTTTTAGAAGATTTTTTTAAAAAAAATGTTTTAAAATTGAAACACCTTTTGAATGTATTTCCTTTTGAAAGACTTCATCGGAATTTAAAAAATGGTTCTGTGGAATTCCAGTAAAATATGTCTCTGAAGGATTTTGTAGTGTTTTGAAATATTCTTGAGATCTTCTGTGACTTTCCTCCCCCCCCCTTCCAAATGTACATCTTCACTTAGTATATATAACTAGCAGTGTCTCACAATACTAGGAAATGAGAAGAAGCATGAGTCAGCTGTTCTTTCTCTTTTTGGACTTCTTATGTCACTTGCAAATGGGGACCTTTTCCCTCAGTTCTCTCAGAGTGAGAAGAATGAGCTGGGAATCAGGTATCTCACCAGAAGAGATTGCAAATTTTCTCTTGATACATTACATCAGAAGTGCAAAAAAGAAAGTGCACTCATTCTTCCTCCTAAAGCATGGGTAGGCAAACTAAGGCCCAGGGGCTGGATCTGGCCCAATTGCCTTCTAAATCCAGCCCACAGATGGTCTGGGAATCAACGTGTTTTTACATGAGTAGAATGTGTTGTTTTATTTAAAATGCATCTCTGGGTTATTTATGGGGCATAGGAATACATTCATTCCCCCCCACCAAAAAATATAGTCTGGCCCCCCACAAGGTCTGATGGACAGTGGACTGGCCCCCTGCTGAAAAAAGTTTTCTGACCCCTGTCCTAAAGCCATCCTGGGAACCAAAAGCAGTGTTTCCAGACAAATTGAGGATACAAATGAATTCCAGAACCCTGTGTAATCATTTATGCATCTGTAAGCCAGGGATGGTGAACAAGTGACCCCCTAGCAATTGTTGAACTTCAGTCACAGCCAGCATGGCTGATGGTCAGAGATGACGGGAGAGGTAGTTCAACAACCTCTGGAGGGCCACAGCTTCCACAGCCCTGCTGTAAACAATTTTCAGATCTGGTGACCATCTTGAAGGGATTTCATAAGGAATCAATGTAGAGAGCTCCCTCCATAACATTTCAAGGCTCTGTGGTACATCTGTATCCTTACCTCAGATGCAGGCAGGGAGAGAATCTGCTTAGATGCTGTGTTCAGCTCCTATTAGCAACAAACACAGCATCAGGAAAATTTGAAGAACATAACGCAATTCATCTCATCTAGTCATTTGAGACTGCCATTGTTTTTCAACATATGGAATCAATCAGGTCACGTAACTGAAACACAGTTTGTTTTCAATGTGGTTAATGCTTAGGTGTCTGTGTTTGTCTATTGTTTTTGACCAGAATTTCTCTTTTATGTTGTCTGTGTTTTGCCTTCTTGTCTGTGTATTTCCCCCCTTCACAGATGAAACCTGATGAGGGTCTGAGTCTGAAAAATACATTTATACCAATAAACAAGCAGAAGTGTGGACACTTTAAACCTTCCATATCTTTTGTTTTGTCTTGTTACAAGGCATGTGGTGCTTCAGAGAAGTCAGTAACATTTTTAAACCAACTTTTCATATGGTTGTTTTTTTAAAACCATGTTGTTGGCCAAAAATGGACGCTTTTTTAATAGGACACTATAAAATTGGGGAGGGGGAGATACCAAAATACACTTGACAACTTGTTCATAAGTAAAAAGGGAACTTTGGTACCTGACAGTTTTAATTCTCCAAAATTTAGTACCATTTCTGAAAAGTAAAAATAGTTGGCGTTTCAAAATTTGCTGTCAACATTCTGCTTAGATAATGTCCCAGTGATCTTGGAACAAGATATTGGAAGGTTTACAGGGACCGTACTTTGCACAAACAGTTTCTGAAATGGTGCTTTTGTTTTGAAATGTTCAAAACACTTTCTAGATTTATTGTGAGCATGATATAGGTCTTGTCCACAAGCTTTCATTGTGCCTGACAGCAGGATGGGGGTTATTTACAGCCAAGTATGTTCAGACAGCACTGGCAGCCGAATCCACCGAGCAGCTCCTACCAAGCCTTGTTAAAATGGATGGGGGCCCTGACGATGCCATGCTCGGTGGATTCCTTTCCAGTGTTGTGCTACAAGGAATCTATATTCTCATTTGATGTTTCGTTCTGTAACTGCACTAATATCAAAAATAATAATAGAGAGGACCCAAATCTTGTGGAATTAATCTGGTGGGATTTCTAATAATGATCCAGTTGAGTACCGTAAGGAAGATTTGAGGTGGCATGAGAAAGGGCTTCTATTTAATTTGTCCCATTCCTGGAACTGAATTGCTGCAGCAGTCTGGTAAGACTGTTGGACTGCATAGCCTACATGTACCCACTCAACACTACCCTAAACATTTTCTCATCCTCTTCCTCCTCCTTTATACTTGACACACTGGAGTTCTGTATTATATTTTTTTTTAAGATGGTTGTCTGGTTTTTGTTGTTTTTACAAGTGTTGTGGGGGGGAATGTAAGAAAGCTGAAGTATTTAAAAAAATGTTCCAAGGGGGAAAAAGGTTTTTGTTATTCTAATATATTATTGTGTACCTATTGTAAATATGAAACACTCCTATTTTGCAATCCAAGGACTCACTTTGTACTGTTGTTATATATAAATAAAGTTTACTGGATAAAAATATCTGTATCTTGTTCCTGAGCGAGCTTGGCTTGGGATAGGTAGGATTTACTACTGCTTGCACTTGCTAAACCAGTGAGGGATATTTACTTGCTGTGTTGCACCAGTAATAAATCAGTAACGGGAGATGCGAAACGAAATATTTAATCTCCAATTTATTTTTGCAACATGCCAAGCACTTAAAACTCAAGAGGCTGAAGAAGAAGAAGAAGGTTAAACACTGCCATCTAGCTACATGTACTGATTTTTTTTCCTTAACAAAGAAACATTTTCCCCAGCAATAACTGTTTTCTAAAAAAAAAAGTCATACTATTGAGAAATACTTGTGACTATCAAATAATTAAGAGTGAGGAAATACTTGTTTAGGTTGTGGAATGATAATGGGGGAGATTTTGTTTTCTGTGCTGACTCTCCATTTAGCGTATGGGAATATTCATTTGTACCTGGCCTGCGGTATGATCCTGAGGACATTTCCACGATATCTCTCCTATAGCCAAAGAATATGCACCTTCACATCTAGCCTTTTATAGCAAGAGACTTGTGTTTTAATTCACAGCCTGATCAGATTCCCAATTCTCTAAGGCATATATACGCATCCTTCTCTAAATGAGGAGCTGCATTCACAAATGGGTGTTGCATAGAAGGTTTATAGGCCTATGTAGGTGCAGAGCAGGTCAGAAAATCAGCAATAACCTGAACAGCTGGATAACATCACCAGTTATCTAGTGCAACATGTGAGCATCTGCAAGTATGCTCATATGATGCTGGGTGGTGTTGCTAGTGTGTTTGGTGATTTTCTTGGAAGCTATCCCCATCCCCCTTACTGGTTCATCCAGAGAAATCTGATCCTGCATATAACTTGGCATCATGCATAATTGTCAAAGACAAGACATTGAATGAGCTGCTTGATTAAGCTGAGTACTTTAGATCAGGTTTCCAAGAAAATTTAGTATTCATTTGACTATTTGTTGACTATTCCGTCAATCCTGTGCTTGTTCTAAACATTCTATGGGACTTCGAATTAGCATGCAAAATCCTCTTCATGTTGAAACAGTGAGTAATGCCACCTCAGTAACATAATACTTCTCTCCATGTGATACCAGTGCCTCTCATGGAGAGTACCCACAACCAAGCTCTCCAAGTCTACACAATAAGTCAGGATTGTACAGAGAGTGGTGTTACATGATACATGTTATGGAAAAGACACCAAGCAGAGGCTGTTTCAAATGACCTCTGAACAATAGTCATAACATGTATACAGATCCTTTAATTATAAATTCTGGCGTGTAAGATCGCCACCAAGACAGTTGTGAGCTGCCATTCTTCACTGAGCTGTTTCCCCCTGCTCACATTGTGTATTAGATTCCATATATTTACTTTCTCTAAATTATTAAGCAGGAAGCAGTAATCAGAAGGAACTATTGATGGATGCTGGGGAGAGATTTTTTCTTTTTGTTTCTAGAAAATTGATAACATATCTATGTGTCTTGCCTGTTTTCTGTTGTACTCTGCTGCAATAGCCCTTTATTTGGGCACCAGAGAAATCAAGCTTGTGTCCACCAACAGCATAAAGTAATCTTAGATGAAGCTAGCAAACACAGTCAAATTACAACAAAAAGAAGGGTACCACACTCAGCAATGATGGGTCTTACCACAAAGTATGCCACAATTTTTAATGCTGTAAAAAACTTGTCACATGGATGCTTTAGTAGAAGTTGGACTACATGACCCTAGGGGTCCCTTCTAACTGTACAATTCTATCATTCTATTGTTTTCCTCTCCCCACTTAACAAATACTGTGGCCCATTAGATATTATAACATACTTTCATTGTTTTATCTCAGGGTTCTAGCATAAAGGCCCACCACCATGTGGCTAATCTCAAAGTCCCTTAGGACTTTCAGAAGCACTTAGGGATGGTAAAGTGTAAAAACACACACGTATGGGCACATAAAGCTTTGTGTTAATTCACAGGAAATAACTGATTTCTCATTCATTTTGTCGTTGATCTACCAAGCAAGAAATGCTGGCTACAGCCCTGCTCTTGAATCACAGAGGACCCGGTACTCACCATGAAGTTGTTACTGTAAGTGTCACACTTTTTAACAACCCAAAAAAGAGGGGCTGGTACTCTGTACCCTTGAGTACCCCATGGGGAAAAGCTGTGTGTGTGTGTGTGTGTGTGTGTGTGTACACACACACACACACACAAAATTTCTCATGAAAATTGAAAGGGTGGAGGGAGGAACTGTCAACCATAAGAGTTCGGGGGTGCCTTGAAAATAAGGTGGCCAAGTGCAAAAAAGGAGAGGGTTCCTGCACCTGTAATAGTTGTTTGGAAGAGGTAATTGCAGCAGGTGTTGCTTATTAATGATGCAAGCTACACCTGCTGAAAGTCCCTTCAACTCAGCTATTCTAGGTATAGGAGCCTCCTCCCCCCTCTTGTATCTGGCCACACTTTTGAAAATACAATTGGAACTGAGCTGGTACAGCAACATTATTCTGCTCCCCTGTGAAAGAGGTGCCTGGTCCAAATCCTGTAGTGACAATTCAGTTAGATTTCCCCAGGGGAAAGTTTTATAACTTTTAAAGACAGTGAACAAATACTTATATCAGGAAACTTCCTGTGGTTGCTGAAACCCGTTTCAAAAAACCCCGGCTTCCAGTGTGGATATTTAACTGTACAATCTCAGGCATGCCTGTTCAGAAGAAAGTCCTACTTACTCAACGGGAATTGCTGCCAGGTGAATGTGCATGGGGTTGCAACGCCTAACCTAAAGCCTCAGATTAAAGGTGAGCAAACATTCATCTCAGTCTAGTCCTTGTGAGCTATTTTTGTGGTGGTGTAAAATGGTATATATTCCCATGATGTCGCAAAACAGGTTCATTCCTGAGCTGCAGGTTTCAAATCTGTGTCACTGCAAACAAGTGGAAGGGAGGGCTCAGCCTATCCGTTTTCATATTATTAAATGGACAGAAGGAGCTAGGGAGTTCCGCTTCAGAAAAGCAATCTCAATCAGGAACTGAGAACCTATGCACAGTGTATGGTATTCCTGTTTTCCTAAAGATCCTGGGAGGTAAGCTGTTCTCTCAGCTGCAAGGATAAAGCATAATCTTTCAAAAATGCATTACCAACTTTGTACCATAAGAGAGAGCTCCAGGGGAATCTTTCGTTTGCTGACTAGTCTGGCTTGATTTAGCAAAGCTGCATGTGAACCTTGTTTACATATGAAGGCATGAGTTCTGAGCACGTTCTCCCCCCAGAAACTATTGTTCCTTGAGGTAGAAAGAATGCACTGCCTTTCCCAGCTTGTCCTTTGAGCAGGCACTGGGAGCTGCTTCTGAGTGGCAGGAATCAATGAGCGACTTTCCCAGCAGCTGTCTGTCAACTTTAATGACCAATCTGGTTGCAATTACAGCAATGAACTTTCTCTAACAGCCCCAAATTACTCTGGGTGATGAGAAGAGACAGAGAAATGGAGACCCTTTGGGGAGGGCAGAAAGGAAATATGCTAATCCAGGACAAAGGTGGAAGGGGGGGGGAGTTGTTCACTCATCTCAAAATGAAGCTCAGATTTTTTAATATATTTTGAGAGTCTCTGCCAATAAAAGCTCCTCATCAAGTTCCAGTGTGGCGAACAGCAGAGAGTTAATGGATCAGAACATTGCTTTATTAGGGGATACTGTCCAATTTTCAGAATGTAGAAATGACTTCATTTAGAAAATAAACTTACAGCCTCACAGCAGTCCAGCATAGTGATGGGTAAATTCTCCCAGACTGATGTGGATTGGAAGCAGTGATTTACAATTGAAAGTGCACCAAAAAGTTTTCTTTCTTTCTTTTGCTACAATTTGTAATTGTTAAACCCTTCAACACCCACCTACCCCGGCCTACTGCAGTGGCAACTGCCCCCCTCTGCCAGTGTAACAAGGAAAAGGGCTGGTGGGTGCCCAGAACCTCCAGCATTGTTGCAATGTGTTTGGGGGGACAGTGGTGAAGTGATGAATTCTAAAGCACTCTTTAGCCACAGCCTTTTTAACACTCAACAAAACTAAATGTTTTTTGACTAATGGATTCACCATGTCTTAAAAACACCAAGCTAGCCTTTTCCTCACTCCTCTTTCTTAGCAGTCAGCCTGAAGAAGCACTCCGATGGATTTTGGAATTTTTAAAAATGAAAATTGTAGCTTAACCCCTAGCTATGTATGCTACTGCAGTTTACCTCTTCTTTAGCTTAGCTTATTTGGTGTGATTCTCTCTGAGAAAGACTTGCTGATTTGACATGCAGGTGACTTGGAAATAGCACCCCGGAGATGCTATCATTGTTGCTGCTATGAAATAAGTGTCAGTGTGTCAGCCCTTGCACATCCCTGCTCCAACACACTGCCACTGGAGGATGAGAGGGGATCTACCTGCTGTAACAGAAGGGTGGGAGACCTGATATTCCTTTCCTTCCATAACTGCTAGACTGGGTAGGCCAGTCTGTACCAACTTGCCACCACACCCATTGTGCTTCCTCTAACCCTGGATGGGAGTGCTTCCCAAAGATCCGAGACAGTATCCACCCTCCCTTCCCCACATGTGGGCGGGGTTTGCGGCACCGAGCGGGGCTCACCTGGGCAGGTGCCACCCACCTGCTTGAGCCGGCCTTTGACCCACCCTCAGCCAGGGAGGACAATGGATGGCCGGCCAGGGGTGGGCCCAAGGCAAAAAGAAAAGAGGCTGTCTCAGTTGCCCAAACCTTTTTTGCTGGTCTTCCTTCCAAGATCAGGATCATCAGGAGCGTGTCCAGGCAGCCGGACTGAGGTAAGTAACTGGCCTCTTTGCGTTTTGCCTGGATGGGGGGGGGGGCCTTGTCCCCTCTACCAGGCTAGGCTGCATTTTTGCGGGCTTCTTTCTTTCACTAGGCCGCATTTTTGTGGCCTTTTCAGCTTTTGCCGGCTAGGCTGCAGGGGCGGCCTGCTAGGCCCCCAGCTAGGCCGCAGGGGTGGCCGGCTTGTTTTTGCAGCAGGGGGGCATGGCTCCCCTGCCTCTGCCAGCCCGAGTGCGTGGCACAGCCCCTGACTAGGCCGCAAGGGCGGCCTGCTGGGCCCCTGGCTAGGTCGCAGGGGCAGCCTGCTTGTTTTTGCGGCGCCGGATACAAGGGGAATACAAGGGGAAATACAAGGGGAATCAAGATGGCATCCAGCGTAATGTGTCCCTCCCCAGAGATCAAAGTAGCTTGCTTTTCTCTGTCGAGCGCCACTCATACATATGTACCATGAAACAATTGCCTAAGTATATGAGAGACTGGAATAAGTGTATTAAGAATTTAAAAACAAAACAGGAGAACAAAGGTTAAAACAGAATGGTACATGAAAAAGAAACATGTTTCATTTTAAGTTCATACTGAATATTCTGTTACAGCTTCTTACAAACAGGCTTCTGGTCTCCTTACAAGGAGCCGTGTTGACAGTCATTTAAAGGACAAAGGACTGTGTGGAAACAGTCAATTTTTAAGACCCAGATGGATCTTGACTGACAGCTGGCATTGTCCTGCCAATCACAAGGCAGTCAGTAGCCAGGAGAATGCTCAGCGTAGAAAAGTGGCAATAAGCTGGAGATGGGCTACAAACAGAGGCAGATTTAGGGGAGCATGATTGGTTTGGTTGTACTGGGTGTCAAGTCTCAGGGGGTACCACAGAGAATGTCACAACTATGATTTAGAATGGAGCACAAGAAGTTGGGGGGAGGTGAATTTTGGAATCACACAAGGTGTTGCTGAAATTTGAGACCCCAAGGACTGCCACTGTTCTGAAGGCACAAAATAGCAGGCTTTCCTGAGCTCTTGGTGGTTTCTCCTCCATAGATAGAGAATTAATGACTGGGGAGACTGAGCAATCTTAAATGGGTTGGGGAGAGCAGAACTGCACCACATCTGCTAGAGTCATTGAAACAAGCTGCACAACTGAGCAGTTCATAAGGTGGAGAGGGAGGGAGGGGCTTAAAATCCAAAGTGGAGAAAATTCAGGAGCCACAAAATTGAACACAAGCATTATTAGTCATAAAGGTTCATTCAAATGATGTGAAGAAGGAACCTAGGTGAATTAGCACCTTGTACTGTATGAAGAAGGAACATGATTCACATTAAGCATGTCTGGAAGGTTTGTCAATCTCTAATTTGCAACCATACCATGTTTTCAGGAACCAGAAGCCTTTGCATTTAAACACCAGTGTTTTTGGCAATTTCTGGGCTCTGTTATTGCCAAGGGAAACAATCGTACAGAGAATGCTCATGTGATACTTAATGTATCTTTTAGTCTTCCATTCATTACTTCTGAATGTTGTTAATGGTGAACTGTGGAAAGCTGAATATATGTTTTTATCAAGGTAGTCTTTTCATTCTTCTTATGAACATATACTGTTCTTAGTACCTCTTTAGTGTGGTCGTTCCAATGACATTTCAGATGCGGAGCAAAAAGTCATCTGGTGATGACAAATTAATTTTCTGAGAACTTTGTCAGATTTTACATTCATGCAGGATGCTTTTGGCCTGCCCCCACAAACACCACTGCAGGTGTGTACAATATATTGTTACACAAGGGGTATACTCTGTGCTGCTCGCTGTACCATGGCCAAAACAAATCAGGATATAAAGTGTCTTTCTCAACAAGCCAAATAAGTGATGAGAAGGGAACAGAACAGAAGCTCCTGCAATTCAGTGCTCTGGAGAAACTAAGATACGGCTGTGAGTTTCAGGGGCATCTCAGTAGTGCAGGCAATCAGATACCAGAAGATGAAGAATTCCTTCTCCAAATCCTTCCTCAGGGAGGCCATTGTCTCTTTTGGCCTTGTGGGTTACAAAAGAAATTTTAATGGGAATAAGGAGGATTCCGTGGTGGCAGGGTCATTTGTATTCCATGCCACCTTGGCCGGATATAACTATACTTAATTAAAATTACATTTTGTCTAGTGTGCACTTCACAGGGCTTTATCTGCACTGACAAGGTCAAATGATGCTTAGGAAAGTTAATATAAAATGCAGATAGTGTGCTCTTCTCAAAGCCCTCACCCTATCAACCTCTCCTGTCGAACATGGCGAGCCCAGGACCTGCATCCAGAAGAGCTTCTGAAGGAACTTCAAAATGCAACCTGTGGAAACTAGCCCTTTCCTCATATTTAAGGAGCATGTTTAATCCTGCCTGAACAGGATCACGATGCTTGCTTTAATGTTTCACAGTTATCATATAGTTATAAAGACAAGCTCACACAAGAACTCTGAGGAATCCAGCATTTAGAAAAGATGGTTTTAATTGTCAGCTTTGCTTTTCCTTTCCCATCTTCTTCCTTCACTTTCTTTCTGATGAACCACCTAGATGAAAATCTAGGTGAGGATGGCATTTCAGAATTTGATTTTGTAAACCTTTCATGAGAAACAGTCATCCAAAGGACAACTCCTTTGATTGCTGCCCTAACCCCTCTGCAAGCTCCCTCATCCCCAGTGCTGTTTGTCTCCCTCCTGGATTTTGTTTAGGTAAAGAAAGCACGGACTAACTGCCACCAATTAATATGTAGCAGACCCACCACCCACAGTACGCCAATTAAACAAATTTCTACAATTTACCACAGGCTATCTTGGGGGGGGGGTGTTCTTGTGCAAGGGAAACTTTGATTCAGGGAGTCTCCAGCAGGAGTTGAGCAAACAAGAAAAGTTTTATTTACCAAAGGGGTTCATGAAACAAAGTTGGGTCAGAAGATGCATTCTTTCAGGTAGAAGTTATTATTTTAAATATAAAGTTGTCACATGCTTAAACACAATAGTATATGCTCAGCTTTTCATAAACTTCCCTTGCTAAAAATGAGTTGTTACACTTCAAGAAGATGTTCAGGTTTCTAGAATAGGTGGTAAAATGTTCGGCTCAGTTTCTGTTACTTCACTCTCATTGCTTTACTTAGTTCAACTCAAATCAGAACCAATTCTCCCTCGGACAAACCCTATCCTAATGATTATCTCCCATCTCAAATCAAGCCCTATCTCTCCAACTAAACCCTATTTCACTGCAGCTCTTTCCCTTCTCTATTCCCCTCTGCAAACTCCCTCAGAAATTGCTCATTTTATTCTCCCTCCCAAAGTGCTGCTCCACACAATAACCCTTCTAGCTAGCTGTCTTGGTAGCCAATCAGAGAGAGGCCCCAGCACTCTGGTGGGATTCTGAGGGACTGCGTCAACAGACTGGTCTGGCTCTGCTGTTCATCACAACTGGAAAATCCACAATGCTGCTATGCTTGCCACATCACACTTCCCAAAGGCCTATTCTGGCAATCAGAAACCAAAATTTCTCCCCACCTCCTCTCTTCTCCTTGCAAATCAGCAGAAAGAGAAGGTGACAACTGTAATGATCGCGTGGAAGAGGGAAAGAAAGCCCATACAGGGCAAATGGCAGCATTCTCTGGAGAGGAAGGTTCTGGAAATCTCCACCACTTCTCACAAGCTCTGTCAACCATTATCAATCTTAGGCTACAGTGAAAGTGGTTGTAAGGTTTGTAATCTACATGTAACTATTTTTCCTTCCTATGTCTTTGAGCTCTTTCAAAAATATAGCTTCTTGCATGCCTGGTAAAATATGAGTGTTTATAAGCATTAAAATGTCTGGTTGGCCATTTGGGCACAGTGTTGACATGACAGCTCCACTGAAAGTCAATTGTTTGTTTTGGTGCAATGATCAGTGTTGTGCATGGTGAATACTGAGACCAAGACTCAGGATATCCTGGAACTGCCATCAGAAGGCCAGGAGCAGGGATGCTCAAATTAATTATTCTGCCTTTTACTTCATGTTATCGTAGAATTGTAGGATCTAGTGAAGAAAGCTCATGCCACAAAAACATGTTATTCTTTAAGATGACACACAACTCTGCTCTTTTCACTACATTCAGTTTCATATGGCTACTCTTCTGGAATTTTCCCATAGGTATCTCCATTCTTCATTGCCAGTCTCAGCTTTTGTTTAGCCTTTTCTCTGTCCTTTTAAGCTGCATCGTATCAGGAACATTTCTCGATTTCTTCCTGCCTGCCTTTCAAGATAAGCTAATAGATGTGGCATTTTTAATCATCAGACATAATCACTACATTAATTTTGACCTGCAGTTGTTGAAATACCAACATCTTTCCATCTCTACAACGCTTTGCTGGAGGGTGTCACGTAATTGGTTTTAATCACAGATGGTTGTTTTAAATTGACAATAATAAACCCCCCAAACCCAGTGCCTTTTATTCCAATAAGTATTCCTTTGAGTTAACACGTATAGATGGATCATTTGAAATTTAAATTTACCAGTGGCATTTCTAGTGGCAGGCAGATCAATGTAGTCCATAGTACTCTGTACCACATAGATCTTCAGAGCTTTCTTTCTTCTGCTTGGAGAAAGATTCACAAGTTGAATATTTTATTCTCCTAATAATGAGTTTAGCTTTTGGGCCGGCATATAAGCCCCTCCTGAGGCCTAATGAGTGAACTCCCCACCCCAACCCAAAATGGCTTATTTATGGAATCTGATTATTTGCATTCCCTTGTGGGAAATTCCAGACTCATTCAGCAGCTAGGATGCACCGAGGACATCATTAGCAAGAGAGTAAGGTGATGGAAATGTGCTTTTGCTTATCCCACAGTGGTTCTAAAAGGAAAAAACCAGCTCTATTGTCTTCATCTGAGTGCAGTATTCCACTAATTATGCACATCTTGCCAGTGGTGTACTAGGACCCAATGGTGAATTTAAGTATCAAAAAGGT